GAAAGACAGAATCCCAAAGAAAATTCCAGAAAATCACATCATATGAATTGATAAAAATTGATAACCATCTGATGAGGAAAAATAAGCATTCTTTGTAAGTGGGCAAACCTGCAAAATCAGCAAGGGGTCAAATAAAATAGTTTTTTAAATTAAATTTTAAACAACACTGACTAAGCAATGAAATTTTGAGATATAAAATTACAATTACAGCAACTGACCTACATATACACATATTGTTTTTTATGTATATATCTAGCTATATTTTATGAGGAATTTTTGTATATATATATATGTATATATGTACAGACATGTACATATGTATATGCCTTTGTTTTGCTTATGGAGCCTGTAACAACAATAATTTCCCTCTGGGATTATTAAAGTATTTCTGATTCTGATTCTGATTCTGAATACTTATTTCCCCCACTGTATGGCAGAGCTAAGCTAGCTTAGCTAGCTAACCGTGCCTTTTGCACGCAGTTTAGTTTCTATTGAAGACAAAAAAGCTTAATTTTGAGGGCTTCTGGGCCACAGACCTGTCGGTGTGTCCCCTCATGCACAGCAGCCTGGGCAGCCTCTGCAGGAACAGGCTCTTTACCCAGGGGGCCATGGGGTGGTAGGTGGCCGAGGAGCGGTGGTGGACGTTGATGACAAAGACGGTGACGATGATGGAGAAGGTGACGAAGATCATGATGAAGAGCAGGTACTCTCCAATTAGAGGGATCACCTGTGAATGGAAAACAAAGAACAGCTATTCAGACACATAATCAGAGTTTGTTATCACATTAAGACGAGTTAAAAATGTTATCACAACAGAAAATAGCTTGAGTGTTAATCAAAACAACATATCTCTAACTTTAACCACATTTTTGTATAAAGATGTGTTTCGTTAAAATCTTATTCATCATGTTTATTTTGACCTATAAATGCATTTTGCTTCAGTGAATCTTTGAGCTATTTAACAAACTATTAGAGAACATTTTATATTGATACATTACTTTCACCCTTTCCAGGCTCAAGGTGGGTGGAGCTATAAAGGGAAGTACGTCAAATTACTGGGGAACTTGTCAAAATAATTTGACATGGATTAATGATGATTTAATAATCTGTCACTCAAAACTGAAGAGTTTCTGCATGGTGAGTCCAGAAAAAACATTCAGTCAAACAAGTGTGCAAAATATAATAAAATTAGCTCTTTTTTTTTTCACTTGAGGAACTAAACAGAAAGCTGGTTGACTGTCCATGATAAAGCTGACACATTTGTATAATTTGTCAAACACATAAAATATAGATTTCTATATATTAAATGAACCTCCATTTAAATAATAAAGACATGTTAAGAAATATGTACAAAAAGGAATTATAATTCATATTTTTCTTTACGCATTGGTATTCAACTAATGCTTTTCAAATACAGTATATTTCTAAGAATTGTTTCTTCTTTCATATATTTATATATTTTGTTAAGATTGTTTTATGTGTAATTTACAGATTAGTAACTGAGTAACTGAACGTTACACATTAAACTTTGTGGTTGACTGTTTACATAACAGCTTCTAAAAACCCTCAATAGAAATGCGTAAAGGTTGTTTATTTCTTTTTCCCCTTGATTTATCATATGGAGTATAGGTTTTGACCCTGATGTGTATTTGAAATTCATATACCGGACATTTTGCTGGACATTTCATATTTTGGATTAGACCTGGCTGTGCTGAATTGTTG